GTATGTCGCTAGGAAATCTGTCTTTCCAGCACACAGTTGTAGTCTCCTCCTGGTATTCACTGCGACATGATTCTTGGTTCCGATTTTTTGTTGCAGCATGGTAGTGTATTAGATATTGCTCGTGGTGTTGTGATGTTTGGCGATGTGTCTGTTCCGTTGCACGTTTCTGGTTCTGGGTGTCCTCCGTCACGTACGCCCTATGATCGTATTGTTCCGCGTAATACTTCCTCCTCATGTAATACTCATACTCCTCATTCTGATGCATGCTCCGACGATGTACCTGTTTCGTCGTATTCTTCTCGTGTTGCCCTTGACGATTCATTGTCTGCATGGGTTGTTGAACCCATGGCTCAACCTGGCGTTGTCCCGGCGTGTGCGCCCGAAAGTGTGGCCGACCCTGTGGTATACTCATCTCGTGTGGTGTTTGAGATGGAGTTGTCGGTACCTGCAGGACATGTTGTCTTGGTGCCTTGTGCAGCTGTTGATGTGTGCACGGTTGCGATGGATTGCGTGGCAGATCCATTGGAGTCCTTTATGGCGAAGCATCCAGATGTGGCAGTGACTCCTAGTCTTGTGACTGTTGGCCCTAACCAAACACGTGTGGTTGTGGCTGTTGAAAATCATGCAAATCATCCTATACTCATTCATAAAAATACCAATGTTGCCGAACTTCAAATTCCTACAGACTGTGAACATATTGACGACACTGAGGCTATGGTTTCCTCAGTTTCACCCAGCACGATTCCGCTAACTGAGCAACGTAAGAAAGTCATCGATGAATATATCAACGCACAAAATCATCTCTCCACAGAACAGTCTCGCATGCTCACTGAACTACTTCATGATAACCACGATTTATTTATCTTGCATGATGATGACTACGGCTACTGTGACATATTCCCTCATAAAATTAACACAGGACAAAATAACCCTATAAAACAACCTACCAGGTGGATTCCATATCACCGCCGGAAGGCTCTGCAAGATCTACTGAATACGCTGTTGAAGCAAGGCATTATACAAGAATCGATTAGTCCGTGGGCATCACCCATAGTATTGGTGCCAAAGAAGGATGGCTCTCTTCGACTCTGTATCGACTACAGGAAGTTGAACTCTGTCACCGAACCTGACGCCTACCCGATTCCCCCGGGCGGATGACATGCTTGATTCCCTGTCTGGCTGTCGGTATTTCACGTCCCTTGACTTAGCGTCAGGATACTGGCAAATAGCAATGGAAGGAAGCGACAAGGCTAAGACGGCATTTACCACGCCACAGGGCTTGTTTGAGTTTAATGTTCTGCCGATGGGCTGCAGGAATGGCCCAGCGACATTTCAGCGTGTGATGGAAGCAGTCCTGAGTGGCTTATGTAACACACCGGCCCAGCCATTCTGCCGTGTGTTCTTTGATGATGTCCTGAATGCCAGCGAAACGCTGTCTGGCCAACTCCAGATTCTGCTGCCCGTGTTCGCGCGAGTTCGGTCCGCTGGACTGCGGTTCAATCTGAAGAAATGCTCCTTCTTCCAGGAGGAGGTCACTTTCTTAGGACACCGCGTGTCAGCGGAAGGCATCTCCCCGGATGAAGCCAAACTCGTCGCGGTCAGGAACTGGAAGACTCCGAAATCTGTCACAGCTGTCCGCGAGTTCCTTGGCTTCGCTGGATATTATCGCCGCTTCATCCGTGGGTTCGCCCAGCGTGCTGCTCCGCTGACTGCTCTGACAGGCAAGAATGCTCGCTTTGCGTGGTCGAAAGCTTGCGAAGCGGCGTTCCAGGCTCTGAAGCGTTCGCTTGCCAGTGCGCCGGTGATGGCGTACCCCCAGTTTGAAGATTCAGCAGGTGCATTCATTCTGGACACCGATGCGAGCAATGTGTCGATTGGTGCAGTCCTCAGCCAGATCCAGGATGGAACTGAGCGACGAATTGGGTACGGCAGCCGTGTACTGACGAAAGCTGAGCGCAACTACGATGCTAGCGATCGTGAGGCCCTTGCTCTGGTCTATTTTGCGGAGTATTTCAGGCACTACTTCTTGGCACGACCATTTGTTGCCAGGACGGACAATACTGCGTTGACTGCACTCCAGAACCTGAAGGAACCCCGCGGACGGAAAGCACGTTGGCTTGACTGTTTATCCGAATATGAATTCCGAGTCGTCCACCGTCCCGGTCGCCAACATCTGAATTCTGATGGTCTGTCGCGCTTGCTAGCCGAACCTGAAGCACATGTGCACAGTGAGTCTCCGCCACTGGCACCAACGCCGCCGCAAGATGCTGCCCCGTCTCCTCCGCCGAGTCCGCCGCCTCTTGCCCGTGATGTTCCGTTGTCAGCTGCTGATGAAATGCCACTCTCTGCTGATGTTCCTCCGGCTGCCGAGATTCTTCCTCCGGCCGTTTTTGTTCGTCCTCCTGGTGCCTCTGCCGCTGGACCGTTGCCGGATTGTTACAAGCCTCAGAGTCTCCTTGCTCCGTATGCTGATCCTGCTCTGTCTGAGTGTTTCACCCGATATGATGCTGCCAGTGGCAAGTTTGTTCGTCCGCCTGAAGCCGTTTCCCATCCTCCTGACTGTCAACCGCCTGCCGTTACTGCTTCTCGTCCTGACCCGATTACGCTGTCCGATGATGATTTTCCGCCGCTACAGCCGCCGTCGTCTGATCCGGTCCGTACTTCTTCTCCTGTTCCTCGTCGTTCTGGCCGTGTTCGCACTGCACCTGCTCGACTAGCTGACTATGTCCTGGACTGAGGTTATTATTTGGTTTGTTTTCTTTTTGTTTGTTTCCTAGGTCTTTCGTTCATTCCCGTGGACGTGAATTTTAGCTAGGGGGGCACAGTGTAATAGGTGTATGTATGCTACGACCTGAATACTCACTATTCGTATTTCCCGCTCGCTCCCCTTGGCAATGAGCCACTCACATAGAAGAGCGCATGCTCCAGGTTCTGTTCTAGTCTAGTCTTGAGTTGTCGTTGTCCTGTTCTCCTTCTGTCTACACTCTTATCAAATACGTCTATAATCCACTGATCATATAAAACCCCTGTGTTCCGGTGTGAGGGGGCATCATTAGCCGGGAGCAGCTAACAGTACTACCCAGGGCGCTAGGGCAAGGGCATGCCAAATATGTGGAGGGTGTTGTGAAGTGATGTGTTGTTTTCCTGTGTGATGGCATTCCCCAGACTGTCTCGTCTAGTAGCGTGCATGTGTGATATGAGCATGCACGATTTTGTAGTCGAGAGTCCTTTTGTCAGTCTTCTTGTTCGTCCCTTTCAGTGTAGTCTGCTTTTCCGTCAAGTCAAAATATAATAATCAAAAACAAACTAGTCTTGTCCTTTGTGTCCCGCGTCCCGGGGAACGGAATGGCTGTGATTCTGTAACAAGAGTGCGTACAGAAAGAATGCAGTGCAGGTATCGGCCCGTTTTATTCGCCTATTCGGCAAAAAAAATACTGCAGATTCGGCTGCAAATCCAGCTGGTTGTTCGAAAATCGGCTGCAAATTCAGCTGTTTGTTTGAAAATCGGTGAGATAATGGAAGATTTGGTAGATTTGCGGCAATTCTCAAAGGAACCCTCCAAAATCGGCGAAAAGCTTACGATATTTTGATAAGACTCATTTTCGGCGACTTTTTCGGGCCGCTGATTTGGGGATTTTGCTAATAACGATCTTCCTAAGGGGCCGTCTGTAAATAATTGTATTTACTTCGAGATGTCTAACAGGCATTTCTGGTGGGTGGGTTCGCCTGCGAGGCGTTTCTAAAAAATACATTTCGGAGTGTGTGCATACCATACAGCGCGTGTACATTTACATGATGTAGCACTGCTACAGCTAGTGCAGGTAGGCCTTGAGAGTCGAGACGAGCTAGCACTACATTGCACTGCAAGTGTCACGGCAGAGTAGACATAGGGACACATAACCGCTGGCTATAAACTTATATAAAACCGTCAATTTCGTATGGGTTCAAACAGGGACATGAACAAGGGTTCCCTGTATCACGAAATTTGCTATTATGCGAGTTCGCTACGAGTGGAGTCGACTGTACTGTGTTCATTTATCAGTGTCTGCTCCAGCACCGGGTGAGCCAGGTAATCCACCCGGGTGGGCGGCGCTTGGACCCGGTTGAAAATATAGTACCGGGTCACCTGTGACACTGTTGGTACTTTACACTTTCGAACTTTGAAAAGACTGACCACATGGCTTGTATGTGTCAGATACTTCTTCTTCTTTCGTAATTTTCTAATTCCTGTCCTCTCTTTTCTAAATACGGCTTATCTATTCGCCTTTATATCATTGACATTGGGCATAGTTTCCGTTTATTGTCCGAATTAAAATACACTAACCAAACAGTTAAAGCATGTGACTCGGCTGGTGAGACAGCGCCAGGTATTGTGTACCCGGCACCGACCCGGTTGAAATGGTTGCGCCAGGTACACGTGTACCCAGCTGTCCTACAATCCTAGAGCAAACACTGATGTATGTGTGCATAGTATGGTGTTTATTATGAGTGGCATTATCTGCATTTTAGGGGGTCATTGCTGGGGATGGGTGGGTGGGTCAAGAAAGAAACACCTGTCACATGTCTTTAAGTTAAAACATGTATTTACGGACGGCCCCTAATGGCTAATGGTTGTTTGGGAGGAGGTCAAAGGGCACGAGTCACACGACCTCAACGCACTGTACTGCAAGTACAACCACTGAAGTAGAGAGCTCTAGCGGTCATGCTTGCTGCAACATCATTCGTTCCTACACGCACTTTGCAACAACAACATTTGGTTGATATTCGGTGATTTTCAAAGGAACCTTCCAAAATCGGAGAAAAGCTTAGCTATTTTTGATAAGTCTCGTTTTCGGCGAGTTTTTCGGCCGTCCGATTTGGGGAAAGCCTAGCTAGGAGAGACAATCCCCAGATTGGTATAAATGTATTATTAATTTTTATAAAATGGGGAGGAACACTTCTCAGCTCTCTTTAACAAAGTGGTCAGGACATAGTGGTCCAACATACGCCTTGTTAATTACCTTAGTTTTCTCCGTTTCCACTTTCTTGCCAGTTAAGTGGTCAGCTAAACTTTTACGTAGCTCCTTGTATGCCTGATTGATTTTCTGTACACGTTTTCTGAATCAACAGCAGCACAGTTGGGCACAGTGAGAGTTAGACCACACAATGGTAGTATCCGGACCACCGTTCACCCCGTCGGCAACAGAACAGCGATGAGTTTGGCTAAACATTTAGAATTGTTGCGGGAAAGAACCCGGGCACTGCACAAAGCGGGGCGCTTGCCATGATTAATCACACCATCATAATCAACCTTCGGACACCACACACTGACACATGCAGCAGGATACTCTTCTTCAATTCAGTGAGTTGTCACCGGCATCGATTTCGACACAAAACCAGGAGCTTTGCACTTCATTTCAACCGTACAAAATTGCAACAAATGTATGAGTGACTACTGCTCTGCCCAACTGCAGCATGTCCTCGACAACCATCGGCAGCTGAGAACTTCTGTCCCGCCACTTCGACGTGTCGTTGTCGACCACATGTGAAGAAATCAGCAGTAATCGATAGTGATACTGGTAACATTAAACACAGCATGCATTGTGCTGTCGTTATTCATATTTTTAAAGGTAATTGGCTAGGCATACCGTTCTCGTTCCCTGTTCCATTTCAGCCTATACCGTTCGTTCTCCTCGAAAGAAGTAAGTGTTCCCTGAAACGTGTATGATGCCCAAACATGTACAAACACACACACACACACACACACACACACACACACACACATACACACAGTCACACATGCACACAAACAGACAAACACACACACCCACCCACCCACACACACACAAACACGCAGATACACACACATACAAACACACACACACACAAACACTCACACACACAAGAACACACACATACACACACAGTCACACACACCTTGGTCCTTGGTAACACTGCCATCAAATGGTCACGTGTCCCCTGTGCAGGGGTCGACAGCACTGAGTTCAGCATTGGATCCAGAAACGCCGCTCTACTTCCTGGACAGGAAATTAGCACAGCTATGCAGGTCGAAACCACGGGATGACTTGCAGCAGCGACCGCAGCCGAGACAATGCGCTCTGCAGCAGGGCAGGGCAACCCGCTGTTTCCGGACCGAGTCTGCCGATGCCACAGCCGAGACCGACGCCACTTCAGCAGCCGAGTTGGAGAGACACTTATGCATAGCTAGCCCGCCAGCACTCAAGAACCATCCCCCGCACGCATTACATAGTCGGCTGCCGGACTGCTCAGATATGGGCTTCCTCCTCTCGGCCAGGCACTTGTGGCGATTCTTGTATTTCTGGTGGGCGAAAGTACGCTGGCAAACATCGCAGAGCACAGAAGTGTCACGCTGAGCACACACACACACCCACACACACAAACACACACACAAACACACACCCACACACACGCACCCACACACACACAACACGCAGATACACACAAATACAAACACACACACACACAAACACACACACACAAACACTCACACACACAAGAACACACACATCTATGTGTACAAGAACATACAAGTACATTGTACATGTACATGCACTTACAAACACACATGACTACACACATACATGTATATCCACACACACATACGTGCAAAAGTACTGTATTTCACCGAATATAAAGTCACACATTTTTAAACTAAACTTCAGTTGAGCGTGACTGCTTAATGATGTGAATGAATTGAAACAACTTGGCTTAGACCCGAAAATGGGGATTCGACCTTTATTCGGAGATATGCGGTACACACACAAAAACACGCACCCATGCCCACAAAAATGTTCAGTATTCCTGAAACCGCTAGCCAGTCTGGTTGCGGAAAGGAATGCTGATCTGCACTATTCCGCTGTCATGAATCACCTGCACTGCAAGATTTCATTTTGCTCAACGCCATGGGCCCTCATGTTCTTCAGGGGCACTCGAACATCCTCTTGCAGCAGGCGGATGCCCTTCGCAGCTGAATTCAGGCTCAGGGCTGGTCAGCAGTAACTTCTTGGTACCACCCTTCTGCAGAAATTTGTAGTCACTGTCATAATAACAAGTCCCTATCACATTTAAATGCGTTGTCTTGTTCTTCCATTGTTGTTCTTACTTTCTACTAATTGTAATGAAAAGAATTGGTAGTAGAAGTAGTGGGCTTGTGTAAACGTGTGCGTATGCGTGTGTATGTATGCGTATGCGTGTGCGTGGGTGGGTGCGTGCATGTGTGTGTGTGTGTGTGTGTGTGTGTGTGTGTGTGTATGTGTGTGTGTGTGTGTGTGCATGCGTGCGTCTGTGTGTGTGTGTATGAGTATGTGTGTATGTGTTTCTGTGTACCATATTTCCCCGATTATAATTCGATTATAAGTCACCTTGTCCTCATTGGTCCTACCATAACCTTGAAGCTTCCAACCTGGAAGGCTATTGGTTTGCGCAAAGGAGGTGTTTCAGAGCTAGGTCTCCGGTTGTTGAATGTCTCAGTAGCATGTCAGTTTTGTGGCCTGTTATTGCACTTTTTGCCTGCTTCATATCTTGTTACAGTTGCGGATAGTTGCTCCAGAACTCCTTTCCATGTTGTTAGGTACCTTCTCCCGTACGTTCTACAACCTTTCCAAGCTGGCTTGCATGCACCCTCGTCCTCACCTTTTGTCTCCTTTTGTCACCTTTCATTCCGCTGGCCTGGGTAGCTACTTGCGCGCCCATATTTGCCATAGCAACCCAGGCCCTTTATCTTGTCGCCCTCACTTGATCTCTCTATCTCTCTTCCATAATGTAGTCTTTCCGTTCGTCTTTGTCTCGGTCTCTTCGTCTACAATAAATGTCGTTCTACCTACCTATTCCCGTTGTCCGTTGTGTCTGGGGAGTATGACTCCTTTTCGTACTCAACAATGTGATTTCTTCTATTTTTAATTGAAGAATTTTAATATTCAATGGTTGGAGGGAAAGACGTCAACGGGAAAAGTCTGACGAAAATATTGACTGTCACCACCAGGACTCGAACCAGGGGCACTCCCTAGGCTTCGTTCGTAAACGCACATTGCATTCCACTCGTCAGTGGATGGTATCAGCACTGAGGGTAAGGTGTACGAAATGAACATTAAGTACTGCAAAATTAAAAGTGTGACCAAAGGAAGTGTTAAAGCATTACATAACAGCAGTCAGACATAGTGCTAAAAAGTATACTAACTGAGTGCAAACACAAAGCATTGGGTGATACAGTGGAAAATTAACAATATTTTCACATCTGATAGCAAGCTACGAGGACAACTTGAACGCGACTACATGCTTCTTTTTATTTTATAGAACAGGATTTTGCAAACGAATGTATACAGCTTCCAGAACCTTCAACTGTTTTAACACAAACTTGCACGGCACAAAACAGAAAATCATCAAACACACTGAGGCAATCTCGGAAAAGACCTCGGCGGACCTCGGTCTTTTACTCGGCGGACCTCGGTCTTTTACTCGGCGGACCTCGGTCGAGTAAAAGACCGAGGTCGAGTAAAAGACCGAGGTCCGCCGAGTAAAAGACAGACTCAGCCTATATGTCCCATATAATCTCGTCTTGGTCAATATCCTATACACAAGATGCCACGAGGAGAAGGAAGTTAAAAAGAACCCTGATGCACATTCACAAACCCATATCTAGGACAAACACCTAGAAACTGTATACATGCAGTTTACCTGTGATGCTACTCCACTTTCTGCTGTAGTGCTGTTGTTGTTAACCCTTTCCGTGCTGACCCCTTTTACTCCAGCAAACTGCCTTTCCAGCGCACTGACTCTCCTGGTGTCGTTTTCGCGCAAAGGTCCGAACGAATTTTTCTCTCAATTCAGTTCACCTTGATGGATTTTCGTCATCCTGGGCTTGTTGGAAAGATCAGGACCAAGCGAATCCATCCTGGTAGCTCTCCTCTCAATATGCACAGAGGTGCAACTTCTATGTCCTCTTGAAACTACTTCACGATGCCTCGGAAAGGCACAGCAACTCGACCTCACATTCTTTTTCGATTTCTTCTTCCAGTTCAGCCGATTTTCACGATTCAAACTGCGCTGCAAAGCTGAGATCCACGTGCTTCCGCTGGTGTCCATTACGCATGCGCTGCGCCAAAGGGAAATCCCCTGGCACGCAACAAAAAAACTGCGTGAACAAAACGCTCAGTGCCGTGACACGGCTGTTAGCTGCACTTGGATCGCGGCAACTTAGTTTTCTGCACGTGAACCATGAAAAATCAATGCATGCTCATGCATGTTCATGCATAACCAGTCAGCTGGCCTGCTCGCCCACGCATTTGACAGGTAACAATTCCATCAAATTTGAGATATCGCTTCGTTCTAAGTCTCAAAACAGTTCTAAAGTCACCAAACCACGCTGGTAATCGATGGCTATTCAATGTTAACATCTTCAGGAAGACTTCAGCCGTTTCCCGAGAGTTTGGGCATCGTTGCCGTTATTTTTGACGGTGTTCTTCTTCCTCCTGTCTGGAGCTGCAATTGCATCCTGGAATTATTTGAAAGGTATTTCGTGCGGGCTGTGGGGGGTTCCAACAGGCATAAACTGACATCGCTATAGGATAACTGGTAACTTTCACCCTTCAAGGAGGTAGAGCAATGAGAATTTTTTTGTGGCGGTCGTCCAATTTTTGTGGCGGTCGTGGCTGTATTTGTGCACTTCCAAGGCTTTCATTCTGCCTGATACTACTCTCTACTGTATGGGAATCGTTGTTTAGGCACATGTAGCTGTCTTATTTGGTAGATCTGCTGTTTTCAATCACTTGGGACACTTTGTCTGGCCTATTTGTCTTTCGTTCGTGCCATCTATCAGTTTTGTGGGGTGCCTTGACCTGTATTTGTAAAGTTCTCGAGTAAAGACCCTAATTCTTGACTGGAGTCACGTCTTGAATTGAATTTGCTGTTTGAGCCCTCGTTCACGCAGTTGTACTCATCGTAATAGTCAATATCTGCTTTCTGGACGGACTAGCGGCTAGAATAGGGATGACCAAATGGTCCAAGTGTGTACTAGTACACGATTATTGTTTCCATCATCGTGAAATGAGCGTTGTGGAATTGCAGTCGTCTGCCTTTGGCACTGAGGACATGAGGAGAGTTGATTGTTACTTCTGCTCAGCAATGAAGCGATCATCAGCTCTCTTTGTTCTAATTATTGACAGGACATACCGGCATCGCAATCAAGTAAAGATTAGGCAAACCTCGCCAACCTCCAAAGAGAGTCGAAGATATTTTCTCCAAATGCAAAGACGATCTTTGTGAGTTTGTGACTTGCAAAGTTGCATTTGCGTGCATACATGAGCAAGTCACGGACCACGGCACGTGCGCGGTTACCATGCCATCTCGAACCGACGCCATCTTTCTAAGTTGCCGCTTCTTGACAGCCGTGGTGAATGGACCGTATGCGTGTTAAAACAAAATGGCGTCACGATTTATTGAAAGTGGTATAGTTGGTGGTACGAGTGTTCAAAACCATTTGAACTTCGTACTGTTCGTCTTCTTTTTGACATGCTCTCTTTCCATCGTCCTTAGCTTTTGTTTGTTGAGAGCTGTTTTGGCTTTCTCCTATACCTCTGGGGGATGCCAAGTGATGGTTTTGAGAGGCTGGTGATGGCTGTGAGCGAGAGTTTGCCGATCGGCGTCGTCCTCGCTATAGCGATGAAAATACTAGTTACTGCGCACCTGGCAGATATCACAACACGTCGGAGCGTCCAGGAGCAAAGGAATCTTGGGTTTTCACTGGAATCTAGTTCCTCCAGCATCGTGTAGCCCACCGTCGGTGAATGGCGGTCCAGAAAGGTCGAACCTGGTCTTCTGCAGCATCTCGCAGTCCTGCGAGGCACACTGAATACGCCTGTCATGTATTCTACAAATAAAAATCACGAAGTAGTGGACTTTACAGTGATGAGTCTATCCTGTATGCTGCAAAAGATGCAGGAAATGTGACTGGTGTCCGTACACTGGACGCTAATATCATCCCAGTCTTCTCCTGCAGGATCTGTTTGACATTGACATACCGGTATGCAGTGGGTCGACATTGGCCTGGTTTGGCAGCTATCTGCCTGGGTGGATGTAGCAGGTTTGCATTGGCACGTCGTCCAGTCCGACATTTTCTTGTAACTGTGGAGTACCGGCAGGGTTTGAGAGGTTGCTCATGCTGTGAACACGTCTCTACTGCCTGTCTCGTCCTGGAAGTGCCGTCTCGCCGCTTCCTTGCTCTACAGTCACGCCGTTATTTCGCTTTGTTTCGTGGTGTAGCTCAAAACCTGCCCAAACAACTGTGAGCTCGCAACATGGTATGGACAAATTGCACCACTCAGCTGGTTAACTAAAACCGGGATAGTCGAGTGAGCGAGTTCACTCCCTGGGCCATGGCAAGATCTGTTCAGCGCGGGCTATTCCAACCTCCAAGTCCATAGTCACCGATCGATCCATGCGATGGTGGTTGACCTACAAAGAGCCAAGGTCTACGAGTACTAATATTGGATGCTGTCTACATGCAGTCAACAAAATCAAAGTACCTCAGTATGCCCCAGAATAGGGCATGTGCATCTATAGCATGACACAACAGGGGTCTGGCGGCACCTGTCAAACAAGCAGTAGCGACTAGTGCCAGATACCTATTGGATCATGGAGGCTAGCTGCTACAGTCTGTCACTGGAGATAATTATTATGTTCACTGTTTAGACTGAGCACAATCAATGATGCCCAATCAATCTGCCCAATGTGTGTTCTGTTCCACCTAATTATAACGTCCCATCGCATCAACCCTACTACACGCACATGTCGTCACTCTAGCACGACTTGTGTTATTATTGTTTATTTTGATTCGCACGATAAATAGAGCACAATAAACGTTAACTTGACCGAAGGTTAAAGGCGACAGCAGATAGAGGAACACATCGAGGTACAGGTACCGGCATCAATACAGTAGCAGAGAGAAACAAACAAAAATGAGAGGTACGCAGAAAAAAACTAACGTAAGCCCAAGGGGAAGTGGTTGATGAGGGATGAATGCACTCTCCACGCTCATCTACACTGTTCGTGGAAATGCACACATACATACAATAATATAAAACATAGCAATAGCATGCACAGAACCGAACAATTTCATGTTCACACATGCAAGCACAGACCTGAACATTAGTACCAAAAGCCGATACAGACAATATCCCCATACACACAGACGCACACACACACACACACACAATGTCCCATGTATGCGCCCGTGGCGAGAAAAGCACGCAAATCTACAAATGCACTGGATGTTAACCCACAGATTTTCTCTTATAGCAACGATAGCGGATCTGATTCTGAATGAAACACACACACAATACAATCATTGACTGCCCATCCGCAGATGATGGCAGGTCCTGAAAGAACAGGCAGTGTTCCAGTGATGGGGAACAGAACTTCGAGTGGCGAGTGAGGTATACACACACACGTGCGTGCGCGGGCACACACTAAAGTATTCAGAAATAGAATCGACATCGTAGTATTCATTGGTTGGGGAATGGAAAGGAAAATAAAACATTGCTGTAGGTTATTGTTGTAAGGACACTGGGAGCACAACAGAAAGGTAAGCAACTTGCTTTGAAGCAAAGAAAGTTATTATTCCACGAATCTCAGAAGGAAGGAACGTTCCAGAATGCTGCACTGGCAACAGGCGGCCTGCATGTGCGCGGCCCCTGCAGTCGGTCCAGCTGCCGGCCTTGCAGTGCTGAAAAGAATGTGCAGTACAGCATGTCACATAGTATCGCAGCCTGGACAAATAGGTGCTGGGAAGTCCTAGTTATGTGCTCACCTACACCACGATGCACCAATCTTCTGAGCTACTTTGGCAACAACTCTGTCCACTTGAGACTCCCATGGGCTGAGCCAGTTGTTGAGGGCTGCATCAAGGTGGACGGCACTGACCGCACATGGCAAGGCAATCCATGACACACAGTCACTAGGGCATCGTCAACATGGCGCTGAGGCTGGATCGATAAAATCAACCTTTAGGCTGCCGCGGGGTTGACAACGAGGCCGCTGTCTCGAAGCTAGTCAGTCAGCCTGGTCACCGCCATTGACGAACCAGTCGCCACCGCAAGCAGTGGCGGTAGGTTGTGACAAGTGTGGTGCAATACTGGATGATTGTCAGCAAATTCAGTACTCAGGATAAGATGAGTGACAAAGGGAACGTTGTGTTTGATAATATTGAAGTGAACAGGGATGATCACAAACCCTGCGCGTACTCCACCGTGAGTTACAAGAAAATTCCGGACTGGACGACGAGCAAACACCAACCTGCTACATCCAACCAGGCAGATACTATTACGATAGCTGCCAAACCAGGTCAATGCCGACCTACTGCATAATGTCAATGTCAAACAGATCCTGCAGGAGAAGACTGGGGTGTTGGCGTCCAGTCACTGAGTGTACAGACACCAGTCACATTTCCTGCGTCTTTTGCAGCATACAGGATAGACTCATCACTGTAAAGTCCACTACTTCGTGATTTTTATTTGTAGAATACATGACAGGCGTATTCAGTGTGCCTCGCAGGACTGCGAGATGCTGCAGAAGACCAGGTTCGACCTTTCTGGACCGCCATTCACCGACGGTGGGCTACACGATGCTGGAGGAACTAGATTCCAGTGAAAACCCAAGATTCCTTTGCTCCTGGACGCTCCGACGTGTTGTGATATCTGCCAGGTGCGCAGTAACTAGTATTTTCATCGCTATAGCGAGGACGACGCCGATCGGCAAACTCTCGCTCACAGCCATCACCAGCCTCTCAAAACCATCACTTGGCATCCCCCAGAGGTATAGGAGAAAGCCAAAACAGCTCTCAACAAACAAAAGCTAAGGACGATGGAAAGAGAGCATGTCAAAAAGAAGACGAACAGTATGAAGTTCAAATGGTTTTGAACACTCGTACCACCAACTATACCACTTTCAATAAATCGTGACGCCATTTTGTTTTAACATGAATATCGCGGATTCCGTGTTCACACCGTCGACGCTCCGTCAATCTTTCACCTATCGCGAAGAACTTTATATTGCTAGAAAGCTGAGCTCAATACCTTTCCAACAGCTTATCGATTATAGCGATAGACTTATTTATGACGGAGTTACAAAAGTTTGTACACTCATCTATGCGCTGTGAAGTACTGCGCAAATCTCATGACGTCTATAGACGTCATTAGTCGTTTGGCGTACAGCGCGCATGACGTCTATAGACGTCATTAGCATGGAAAGGGTTAAGGTCCAGCGGAGTATCCCCGAACCCCGTACTGCTGGAAGCCTGTAAAAAGCAACGGAAAATCCCGAATATACAGTGAGGATGGATCACAGTTTTTTTTAAACATTTCGTAACCTGGACACATTTCAGATGTGTGATGCAGGGTCTCACTTTGACACGAATTCACTCACCGATGCTTGCGATGGCAGGCCTGCATCTGCTGTCGCCGATAGATTAGCTGCTCCCATCTGAGCCACTGCGGTCAACACAAGAGAAGCACCACCAGTACTTGTACTTGGTAATGTAATTTCACAATTTCCAGACAGTCAGCTTGTGCACACCAGCATGCCAGCAGCATTCCTGCGTCCGGATTCGCCGCCTCAAAATCATATCCCACCATATAACAAACGTGGACAACAGGAGCATAGATCAAACTGCCTTACTTCCTGTGCCGCCCGGATAAGACTGCTCTGTGTTGCCGGAGTAGGAAGTGCCAGTGGCACCCATTCCAGATGGCATGCCGTCACCAAACATCTGCACCGTGAGAAGATCAGCAGTAAAACAGCAAAAAAACAAGAAGAAAAACAGAAAAAATGATGGCGATATAAACCAGATCATCTTGATATTTTGGTCCTGCCAATGCCAACTCCACAATTTTAATAGCTTTCGTCAACTCGTGCGAATCCATTTTTGCTGAATACAACCTCCGTTTCAACGTCGATAAAACTGAGTATTTTGAAACGTCAAAAGACAACAACTGGAAATGCATCAAACTCCTTGGGTCAAGACTTGGAACAGCAGAAGACGTATCACAGAGAATTAGTGTAGCCAACCGTGCCTTCATATCCATCGCTTGGAGGAGACATTCCCTTGTGTCCCGTTTCTGCATGTTTTTAACCCTACAAGTACCGGAGGCATCATATGATGAATTTGCAAATTTTAAAATGGGATTGCTGTTATATGGGGGCTTAGAATCTCCCCAAATTGTGTGACTTCTATTTATTTTGTATTTTGTTAATGGCAGTGGGTTGCGTTTTCAAAAATTTAGTACCGTTCCGAAATGCCAGGTGGTGCTACCTAGAAGTACCGCGCGGCATCATATGACTCCACATACCATAGGCATCAATAAAAGGGCGAATATGGCTTAGAACCACACGTGAATAACGTGAAGAGGAATACATTTGGGAGCAAGGAGATTGGGGACCATGAAGGTGGTGATTTGTACATATGGACATGCTAATATGCACATTTCACGTGTCGTTATGATCAATATCGTAATCCCGAATCCTGCCGAAACAGACAAATTTGTTTGTCCTAAGTTTGGAAATTGATTCACTATGTCATCTGCAGCATATTACGATATGAAGTGCCAGGGCAGTTATAATATTCTAGGAACGTCCTTTGAGTTTACAATGGTCTGGCGGAAACCATGTTCAGTAGGCGCAGTGTCGCTGCCGATGAAGCATTTCATTTGATTTTGAATTTTTTGGCCAGGAGGTTGGGGATGAATGCGAGGAGAGTGCCTGGGGCATTGTGCTCGAGCAATTAGAAGTGATCCAACACAGAGACACATAGTTATATGCTCCAGATGAAGATGAGTGAAAACTAATTGCTCCGGCTTCTCGATCAGTCTGATACGGGACCGGAGTCGAGGGAGTAAGCGGATAATGGTGGTGATAAAGCTATGGAGCCATACACATAACAGAACATCAATCTCCAAAACTCGTGCAGGATTTCCTTCATGAAGCTAGGTTCTCTGGCAAAGTTGGTAGGTAGTAGAAAATGTGTTGCACCAAGCAAGCGCGAACGCGCGCAACCGGTTGTTGCTTCCGAAGTATGCGGGCTTTTCCGAGATATTCACAATTTTGAAGATGGGGCAGATGCATTATTTGCATTTATTGACCCGAATATGAACCATGTCATGATCAAGTGCACAAGGTAGGAGGAAAAAACCAAAAAAATTGGAGAGGACTCCACTTTGAGTGAAGGCAATATCATGGCATTGGTTTCGCAAATTTACGCAAGAGGCGTCCTCTGCACCCGCAATAATCTGCCGACAGCCCTTCGGCTGGATAGGAATGGACGCCATATAATCAAGTAAAATACCTAAAAATAGTTTCCAGGAACTACTCTGCTACTTGAGGTTTGATCACGAAGATGATCTCCGGACACGACGTCGAACGAAAATTATTCATTTGCTATGAGTCTCGACACCACGTTCTCCTTTCGCTTGTAAATGTATTGTATTTATCACAGCGGTCAAAGAACGACCAATCTGGCTGAGAAAAATCCAGCAAATAGGCCCAGCAGCCATTTCCGGGGTAAAGGACTGAAAGGTAGAGTTTGCAGGATGAGAATGGCAAGCAAACGCTTTTTTTATTTTTCCGTAAACTGACGAGAGGTTGCCCTTTCGCTACGCGCAATGCCAGCTGCTGGTCTCCAAGATAGTGCACCTGTCATTGGTTCTTCCTTTTAAAAGGTACCCCAAGGACTTCTGTTTCTACACATATTGCCGATAATAATTCCAAGTAGGTATGTTTAAGTCCAGTGGAGTCATATGATGCCTCCGTAATTCTAGGGTAGTTGAAATTTTGGTACTTCTAGGGTTAAATTGTCTAATCATGCCCACTCTGTTATATAATTGTGCCCTTTGGACATTGTCCAAAGCCCTTTCCTCAAAATTTGATATATGGCATAGGAAAAAGCTGAAATTTCTCATGAATATCCACCATCCTCACCACATCACCAATAATCACCTGTACTCCCAAACCAATAGCATCCCTATTACCTCTATTTGCAGAGAACGTCGACTTCTATGGTTTGGCCACGTTGTCCGACAAGGCCCAAACTCTCCATCATACCAGGCGCTGATGTTAGCCACTGACACCTCTGACATCAAGAAGCCATGTGGACGCTTATCTTTGATATTTATGACCCACCCAAGTTGGGTGGTGTGCTGCTTTGCTGCTTCGAATTGTAGTTAGACCGCTTTGTCAAATATCGTACTGGTCTCGTCATCGTCCAGTAACAATCGACATCCTTTGTTCCGTTGGGACTGTAGCTTTTGCTCGTTTTCGTTGCGCTTGCCTTCCACTCTTTGATCTTTCCGTAACCTTGAACCTTCCAAGTTGGAAGGCTGTCGGTTAGCGCTACGGAGATGTGTCGAAGCTTGGTGTCAAGACGTCGAATGTCTCAGTGCCTAGTTTTTGCACTTTCTGACTGTATAAAGTATCATGTTACAGTGATGGAGAGTTA